TATATATATATTAACTTTTGATTAATTCCCTCGTCAATTTTGTACATTACTACGATATCATTTGCAGTGCATGCACCTTGAACCTCAGCGTGTTATTGTATAAAGAGAAGAAGTAGAAAGTAAATATAAAAACATGGCATCCCTGGACAAATTGAACCTTTGCCATGTGAAATTAGATAAGGGGGAGAAACCCGGACTTACTAATCAAGGATCAAGATCGATTAGTCGCGAACCTACTTTAATTAAGATAATAATTATCTATTAATTGTAAAGAAAGGCACACTTTTCAGAGGAAGAAAGATGTGGCAGATACTCTTTGCCGGTTGGCTATACAAGGGTGTTCAAAGTCTATTTTTTATCAATAACAAGTAGTCATATTTTATCTTATACATAATATAATTTTTCAGTGAAAGGTATTCAGTTGACACCCTTGACGACACATAGTTTTGCCCCTGCTTGTGGACCACAAAAATTGTAAAAAAAAAAAATTAATTAAAGTGGATTGGAGTGAGTAACTCTTATCCAACCTTGAGCTCCTATTATTCCTAGGAGTAATCCTACAAGAAAGGAAGCAGAGTTCTGATACCGACTAGAGCAGAATGGTGCTTCAGTTTGAGATAAAACCACTGGCTTAAAAGCAAGTCAAGTGCAGGCTAAGTGAAACCCACTGGTTTCATTTCATTATACTACTACGAATTAAATAACTAGTCCATACTTCTTTTTCCCTTATTCTCAATCCTACTTTCAGTGGACCAACAAAAGCAGATCAAAATCAAGCGGCGACTTCAAATTATATATCCACTCTTTTTCTCATGCTAACATCTATAAATACCACCCCTATACTTTCCACTCAAAAGCAACTTCATATCCATCAATCCTCATCACTCTCAATCCAGCGCCTCCTCAATTACCACTCTCTTTTTTGAGCTATAATTAGCTGATAAATAGTAAAGAAATTAACTAAGATGGAGGCCATGCAATCTTGGGTTTCTGAACACAAACTCACCAGCATTGGTTAGTGTTAGTCTTCATGTTCTTTCTTTGCATTTACCTTTTTCTTTATATTTCCATTATCTAAAATAAAATGGGGTTCCTATCCACTTACAGGCTGTTGGTGCTTCACTAGTTTACTCAAGTACCACAACGCCATTCAAGCCAAGACTTAGACTCATTCATGCTAGGTTAATTAGTCAAATTGAAATTATATTCAGCTGTTTATATATTATATATATATATATATATTAGGCAATGTGTTAGTTTTTCCAACAATTATGGTGATGTATGGGAGAGGTAAGCAATGATGCAACTCTCCTTAGTGAGATAAGCAATGATGCAATGAGTGGTAGGTGAGATGAGAATATTGCAAATTGATCCTTCTTGGCAGGTGAGATTTGCACTTTTGGTCCCTATCTCAAAACTATAAATACCCCCTTCCATTTCATTGTATAACACACCAAAAAAAAATATATCAAAACTTAAGAAGAAAGAGTTTGAGAGGGAGAGAGATGTATTTCCTTTAGGAATGTTTCCTAACAGGGGAGTGACAAAATAGTGAGTAGAAATACTAGTCGGGTATTTTTCGGGAAACACTTTTGTGTGCGCCACTATTTTGGGTAGAGCTCAGGAATTGTTGTACCTCCAAATTATTGGGGAAGTCTCTCTTTGTATGCCTGCTAAATGTTTTAGTGGAAGTTGGTGTCGGATTTGTGGACGTAGCCTAAACGTTTTAGGTGAACCACGTTAAATATTGTGTCATTTATTTTTGGTTTCGTTGATCATTTATTTTATTCCGCTGTGTAGTAGTGTTTAGTGCCACCGGGTCCTAACACAATGCAGTTTAGGCTAACAGGATCTTACTTTGGCTAGCAGGATGCACGCGCAAGCTTTAACATTAGCAGTGTTATCGGGAGCGGCAGTTTATCTTACTATGACAAAAATAGCAACGAGCAATAAGTCCACAAGTAAAATGCTCCGCTACCACCAACAGCATCGCTACATGAAATAATCTATCAGTCTAATTAATCAGCTCTTCATTTTGAAGGAATAACTCTTAGCTACTTGTAGGAGTAATATATTATGAGACAAACATTGAATTTTCGAAGACGCTGTGCCAAATATATGGAAAGTTGGAGCTTGTCTTTCTGTTTAGTTCAAAATTGTATTCTGGATTATCAAATACTTTCTATCCATGGTTGAACGAGATCATATTCTTTTTTAGCATCTAATTTGCAAATTGTGATTTGTTCTTTCAAGGCAGTGATCAGTTCCAAATGCATTGCATGATATTCAAATATACTCTCTCTCTCTCTCTCTTCCTCGTGATTTACTGCCACAGGTAAATCGATGAGCTTATTTTATACTCATTGGTAAATCCGGATTACTAATTTCAGAAATCAAATAAAAACAAAAACTTGCATTTGCTCTGGAGTTCATTTTCTCATATTTTTAGCCCATTTTGCCGGCAAAGTTTTTTCTTTCGGTTATTTTACTCTCACTAAGGTTGCTAATGGACTTCACTGAAGCAACCGGTTATGTTTTTTTTACAGAGTTCATAACTTAATAAATTTTATTCGTCTATTGTTTAACTACGAGTGACTGAGTTCTAGAGTTCAAAAATAAATGAAATGAATTTTTCCAAATGAATATAAGAAAAAGAAGGTGAGATAAAATAAAGAAGCACAGAGGGGTAGAAATATTAATAAGAGAATAGAACTACAGAAGGCAAAAATAAGTGAAAGAGAGAGAGAGAGTACTGTGTCCATGGTCCACTTGTCAAGTTATGGGTTAGTCTCATACAAGTTTTATTGGTTGTGTGAGGTTTAAGAACAAAATTTCTCTTTTAGTTCTAATAGTCAACATAAAATAAATCCTGAGAAGAAAATTGATGTAGTGGTACTTGATGGAGTAAAATAGAGCCTCTAAACTTGATTCTTTTGACAAAAGGTTTTCCCCTAAAATCAGCCACAACTGCCCCACAAGTAATTGTCCCAAAATGCCAGTAAAACTGCCCAAGAAACTCTCAAAATTCTGTCATAAAGTCAGTCAAAAACTTTGGTAAAAATGGCATGGTATAGTCAATTTTCGGACTGATCATTCAAAAATAGCCAGCGGTTACCAAGTCAATGAAAAATAGTCACTATTTTGCTGCAATAAAGACCGGTCCAGCATAATATACTGGAGTTCGGTGCACCTGTATAAATATGCTGGACCGGTATACTTTGACCGGTCCAGCATAATATACTGGAGACTGGAGCACCGATGCTCCAAACTCCAGTATATTATGATGAACCAGTATACTTATCTTGGAACTCCAGTATATTACGCTGGATTTCAAGTGTACTTATGCTGGAATTCCAGCATACTTATCCTGGAACTCCAGTATAATATGTTGGAGTTCAAGCATACTTATGCTGGAACTCCAGCATAATATACTGGCATATTTTTCGGGTTTTGAACAGTATTTTCGCTCAAATTTATCTTTACATAAAAAGTGACTAAATTTCAATTATTTTTGAAACTGAGCTATTTTTAAACGACCAGTTGTAAATCTGGTTATTTTTGAATTTCTCCCAAAACTTTGGAGATGCACATCACGGCAGCCCAAAAGGCCACATTTGCAAATGCTTAACATTCTCATAATTTTGTAGAAAGAGCGTCCATTGGTCTAGCCACTGTTCTAGAGTTTTATATTCTACGATTATCCTAGAGTGTTACTTATGGAATTTGAAACTCCAAGATAAATACTTTTAATTATATAAGCAGAAAAGTGGATTTTTGTGAAATCTTTCCCATAATTCTTGTCTGGAGTCATGGGCCAAAGCCCAAAACAAAGTGGAAGTGGTGCTATTTCAAGAGAGGGAAAATTACGCAATATGTCAAGGGCGGCCCTACCCTAAAACAGCAACTCCTTCAGGCCCCACATTTGTGAGGGCCCATTTTTTGTTATACCTAATATATTAGATACTCCATATGTTTTAATTTAGATGAGCTTGTTTGACTCGCCGCCTAATTTAAAAAAAAATTAAAACTTGTGGTCTTAAAAGATTAAGGGGTAAAAGGATTTGCAACTAGTATGATTTCTGCCAAGGAAATTGCATCTGAAATGAAAATCAAATCCGAACTTCGTAAGAAACGTGTGATATATAGAAAAGAAATAATTTGACGAGAACATTGATATTGTAATCTCAAAACCTCCCGAAGAGTCCTTCAGAGTTAATTACTTTTTATACATAGTAGGCAAGACTATTTTTTTTACTTCAAAATAGATTTGAACAATTCGAAGCATATGAAAATATTTTTTGTTTTCTATTTAGCGTAAAAATCTGAGATCAATAGATGGTGAAAATTTTGATAAATACTGCCTTAATCTTGAGTGTTCCTTGAAGCATAATAATCAATCTGATATTGATGGTTTAGATTTATTTTCTAAATTAAAAGTGTTAAGAAAAATAGTACAATTAGAAGATAACAGTTTAATTGATATACTCAATCAAATAAAAAGATTTGATTCTATTCCAAATGCATATATTGCTTATAGAATAATGGTAGTAACTCCTACTAACGTTATTTCAGCAAAAAGAAGTTTTTTCAAATTAAAATTGATAAAATCTTAACTAAGCTCAATAATGTCTGAATAGAAGTTAATGGATTAATCACATTGTCAATTGAGAAAGAATTGATTATAAACAAATTATTAATAATTTTGCATCTAAAAAACTAGAAAAATGGACTTCAAATTAAAAAAATAAAATAAAAAAAATTAAGTCCCTTCATAAAATTATGGACTACAAAATTCGTCGGGCCGTCCCGGCAATACGTCAAACATATATACTATATTTACCATCTGTAGCTATACTTTTAGTAAATTTACCATTAGTAGCTATATTTGAATTTATAGCACATCCATGAAATAATAGATTAATTATTTTGAACTGAAATAAGAGAGCAACAAGCTCTTGTAGCTTAATTGGTTAGAGCGCCCGCTTAGTTAGCAGAGGTCTTGAGTTTGACTCTCAACAAGATTATTTTATTTTTTTGTATTTCTGTATTTCGTTTGGTTGTATTCGTTGCGTGTTTGAATACAGTCGATACAGGTTGTATCCTTTATATACACCATTGTATACACTCGATACAATTGACATAGGTTGTATTCGTTGCGTGTTTGAATATAAGTGATACATGCCGGTAACAATTGAATAGTAGCTACAAATAGTAATTAGGTAAACTGTAGTTACTAGGCTCTAAATAATAGTGGTTTATGATCTCTTATAGCCTATATGTATCCCTCAATATACAGACTATATATGTATTCTGATTTCATATATGGAATGTATTTTTTTTTGATACATTAATGGCAAATGGTAATTAAATAAGCTATAGTTACATATGATAATTGGGCTTTAAACTATAGTGCTTCGTCAAAATTGACTCACTTTTTTTTTTCAAGGTAAGAGTGCCCAAGTCAGATTACGATACTCATGTACTACGTTGACTCTTCTTTGCTGGAAGCTTTACGAACTATGTTACAGTAGGACGCCTCTCAAATTCCACGCTTCAGATTTTTAGGATCTTACATTTTCTTGTACGCCTCTCAAATTCCCCCTTTCCTTCACTTGCAACGGATGCGTAATAGCTTGATTCAAAGCTATCTAAGTAAAGTAAGTAGATGGATACGCAATGCTAATTATAAAATTAATAAATTTGCCCCATGTTTTTTTCTTAGACAAGTCCCGTTGTCAGTACCTCTGTTTTAAAAGGCAGAATTGAGATTCGCCCGGGGTTTGCCTGGAGCGGAGTACTCGTAAAACGTCTCCGGGCTTATGTGTGGGGGCATAGTTCCGTGTAACTTACATCTTGGTCACGGGGGCTTACGCCCCGGACACACCCAACGTCAGGCGTACTAGGCTCGCCTAATGGAACTTTATACAATTGTGTGTAACTAACATTGTAAATCCTCAAATTTTCTTAACAAATCGTTGACTATTCAAAATTACTTTTTTCTTAATCATAAATCATTAAGTTGAGAGTATTTTATGTCATAATTAAAATAAAAATTATTGCACGTTATCCACTATGACTGCTATAGTAGTAAATTTTAAATAAACCTTTCATTTAAAAGTATTTATTTATCAACTTTTATTATGTAATAGTCCATAATTTTTTTTATAATTATTTTCTTAAATATTATTTTTTCCAAGTTTACGAGATACAATGCTTATTAATTTAATAGCTCAGTATTAGCTAGTAACTAATTTTAAATAATTAGTTATCATGGTATATTATGGTGAATTATGTGTCACTTTATTAACTTGTTGAAACTTAAAAATAAATTATGCTAGAGAATTATATTTAAATTGCGAATTATGTTTTTATATAAATTCTCTTTCAAATAAAGCATATTAAGTAAAAGAAGTCTTTAAAAAAATATCAAATTGTAATATCGAAATTCTTTCAAGATTCATTACTGCTTAAGAGATACATATAAGATTTCGTATCGAATATATTACTTTTGATGTTTGAGTTGTAACGACGTTGCAACTAATTTGCATATTATGATATATGTCATACTTTTCGTGTTATCATAGTTGAATTATAATTGATAAGTATTTTAAATAAATTATTTGTTATAATTTTATGATTTTAATGTAATTTTTATAATTATTTTTTATTTTATACTATCTTAAAATTCTTGAAATTAGTAAAATTTAAAGACCCGTGGGACTTACAACCCATATCTTAGGGTTTACCCCTCGCCTCGTCAGAGGTAAAACGCCTCGCTCATGCCCCCGCCTTTTTTTTTTGGTTAACCGGATGCATTGCATTAAAGGAAAAACTACCCCTTAGGGCGTAAAAACAATAGTATTGTTTGTGTGTGTGTGGGGGGGGGGGGGATATACTAATTCCCCCTCAGCATGGCCATGACTGTTAATATTACATTTCAAAATTTGTCTTGGGAAAGCAGTTCCTGCGATGTCTGCCCAAAATACACGTGTGGCAAACACCGGAAGAACTGTTGTTACAAAAATATTGTCAAAAAAATCCTTCTTACTGCTCTCATTTGCCATTAGATCAGCTACTTTGTTGGTCTCCATGTAGTTGTGCTTCACCATCACGGTGCTTAACCTTTGGACGATTGAGCTACATTCAGAAATAATTGAGTCAAAGATAAGATTTTCATTGATTAGCATTCTAATTACCTCAGTAGAGTCAGTATTTAT